ATAATTTTTTTAAAAATAAGGTAAGCTGGGTAGTGTGGCACACACCTTTAATCCTAGAATTAGGAGTCCAAATGTGGAGTTCTGTGAGTTCTAGGTAGCCTGGTCTACACAGCAAGTTCCAGAACAGCCAGGGCTGCATAAAGTTTCTCTGTCTCAAAAAAAAAAAAAAGCAAAACAAAAAGTAAGTAAAAATACATAAATAAAAATTAAGGTGGAAGGGCCAGAGAGATGGCTCAGCAGTTGAGATGACTTTTTGCTCTTGTAGAGGACCTGGCTTTGATTCCCATCACCCACATGGTGGCTCATAACCACCCGTAAGTCCAGTTCCATGGGATCTGACGTCCTCTTTTAACCTGAGTGAGTATCAGGCACACACTTGGTGCACATAAATATTTGCAGGCAAAACATTCATACACATAAAGTAAAATAATACTCTGTAAAGAGTATTAGTAGAAAATAATACTAGCCAAGTGGTGGGTGGTTTATGCCTTTGGTCCTAGCACTCGGGAGGCAGAGCCAGGTGAACCTCTGTGAGTTCGAGGCCAGCCTGGTCTACAGAGCGAGATCCAGGACAGGCACCAAAACTACACAGAGAAACCCTGTCTCGAAAACAACAATAACAATAATAACAATAAGGTGGAAAGCAATTGCAGAAGTCCACAGACAGCACCCACAGGCGCATACACTGGCATGCACCTGGACCGAGAGCCAAAGGGAACAGGAATTTTGCCATCAGATGTGCCAGGAGTGGCTTCCCAACATTTAAGCACAACTATTAAGTCCATCGAGGGAGCAAGTCCCCTCTCCAGCAGGAAGGTCATTGGAACTCCGATGAGTCATTTCCAAACGATGTTGATATGAATGTAACATCAACTTGCATGCACAGGCCAATCCCAAAATTTTTCAATGTGCTCTTAAAAGTCTCAAGTGATGATTTTGTGTGCTGCACATGCCTCAGGTAAACATGACAGGCTTTTCAGTGTCATGCAGCCAAGCAACAGCAGTCCCGTGGCTGGCACCTGCCTAAGAGGGTGAACCACAGTCACTTCAGTGTTTATGCTCCAGTCTCCCCGCCCACCCTCCTAATGCTCAGGTGTTATGACACCTCAACTGTTACAACATGCAGATTGACAAAGCGTTCTCATCAGCAAATGCTTCAGATAGTTAAAATGAAAATAACAGCAGCTAAGTTAGTAAACGGAACCTAACATTAAGGAAAACAAAGGTTTACAGTGTAGAAAACAAAGGGTCCTGGCCTAGAGTCATAGGATCCTACGGTGGAAAGTGCATTACAGGTATCTAGTT